GTGTCTGGACAGATGCGTGCAAGGCCCGGAGCAGGACAGAGGTTGACGTGGAAACCTGGCCCGTGAACGTGGCCATCAAGACACCAGACGTCCCCGGGGTAACTTTCAGAATCACTCTCAGCCAGAACCGCGCTCCGGTCGCCAATCTCACCTTCACGCATTTATCTTCGGTGAGTCGTTTTCTGTCGTCTTTTCATGGGAAGGTTTCCGTTTTCCGTGAGTGGAAGGATTTTTGGGGGGAATCGGAATAAATTTTGAAAAAATGCATTTAAAATTTACGATATTAGTAATACAATCGTTGATAATGATTTTGATATGCAAATAATAATAATAACAGCAGCGTTATTGATGGGAATAATAATAATAACAATGATAATAATGAAAATGATGATGATAATGAAAATGATAATAACAATAATCAATAATTATCAAAATAAAGATAATGACGACGATGATAATAATGATAATGACAGTCATAATGATCATGATAATAATAATGATAGTAATGACTATTACAATAACAGTAACAGTGATGAATATATGAAGCTCTTTTGAAATCAGTCAGTATCATCTTTCGCTCCCGATACTTTCCTGACCATTTAACGTATACAATGTTATCTGTAAGCAAACGCGGCATGGACACCAAAAGGTGCAAATGTCGCCGAGAACCAAAACAAGCCATCTTGGCGGAAGCGACGCGGATTTCCGGTTAGATAATATCACCTTCTTCCCGTCTGCGTCGCGGCTTAACACGCTGAAATCGACCGGCTTTGTGTGATCATTCATTCATTGAAAATAGAATAAACACTTTACCACTTCAGGAATTCAAATGAAACAACCGTTGCTATCCCAGAGTTTGTTTGGTCTTTGGGTATAGAATTCAGAATGTCATTTATTGTTTGGGGGGCTTTGTTTTCAGATATCTAATCAAGCACAAAAACACGGTCTTTTCGATCATTAAAGTATCAGTCATTGTTGAAGGTAACCTTTTTTTCCCACAATCAGTTTTATGGATCGTACTAAAAATAACTGCAATAGACGCTAATGTTTTATAGTAGCATTGAAGGAGATTGAACACTACATTGATTCGTGTGACGAAAATGGTCTTTTGCATTGATTTAACTATAAAATTTAATCTGATAATTAATAAACTAATAAACTAAAGCATCGAACGTCTTCGTGGCGGATCATGTATTCATTAATGCGATAAATGAGAATTCATTTGTTAATTGATGAGTTACTGCTAGTTGTCACTCCGCTCAAGCATTCCGTTTTCTCAAGAAAGAAAACGGAATAAGAGCACCTTGAACATTATCTCAGTTTTTCAAATTACTTCCAGCTCAACGAAATAGTGATGATGGACCTGAAAATCGAGTTCCAGGAGATGCCAGCTTCCTCTCTCCTGGTTTTCTTCGCGCCCAGCGCCTGGAACACCGCCGTCCTCGACTGGCAGAAGAAGAGCTCGAAGCTGGTGCTCTCGCTCTCGGCCCCGGCGGAAAAAGTCAGTTACTCGATCGACTCGGCATTCGACGTCGATCTCAGTCAGGTGGATCATGTGGCAGCCTCTTGCATTAGGACCTGCGTGGTCGATATCGATTTGGAATGTCTCGCTGGTAGGTTTATTTTAATATCATACATATACACGCCTTAGTTTAATTTTAAATATTTACAGTATAAATACATAATCACTATTTTTCCTAATGACATAGATGGTTTTCCTTTCTAACCAGTAATATTTCACCTAAATCCCAAGCATTACCATCGCTTAGACCTTTACATCATCATAAAAACAGTGCGTACACTAATGAGGCCCCGAATAACATTTGCTCGCCGCCCCCAGGGTCTCAGGCGGCCGAGGTGGCGTCGCGCCTGATCCCTCCGGAGCCGCACAACCACGCGGTCGCAACCAGCAGCATCACGTGGGCGATTGTAGTGCTGTTCGTGTTCATGGTCGTCGCGGCGGTGCTGTTCCTGGCCTGGCGCCACCAGCACAACAAGGTCAAGGTCCAGGCTCAGGACGTCGCCTTGCGGAAGAGGAACACGGAGAGCACGATCAGCAATAGCTCTGACGCGACTCACATCAGCGTGGTTCAGCCGAGGCTGCAGTACTCCTCCATCCTAATGAGTTATGACGGCCCTTACAGCGGAAGTGATGAGGAGTCGTCGCAAGGCGCCGCGTGTGGCGGTGACCTTCCCAAGACGAGGAATGACTATCATCTCAGCGGCCAGGCTTGCCTCTTGTGATGACCTGTGTGATGGCTGCTCTGCGGCGCGGGAAGAGAGATCTGCTTGGCGTGTGCATGCTAATGCGTTCGAGCGTTTGTTATACAAACAATATATGCCATAAAATCATTCTGTATTTTAAGACATCGTCGACGGGTCATTTATGCACTAACCATTGATATATCTAACATGAACTATTTGTGTGATAAAATGACATCGAAAGACATGAAAGGAAGCATCTTTCGCATTTTTGCTTATGTGATGTAAGTATATATTCACAGAACCTTTTGATGTTTATGACCATTTCAATATATGGTAATCGAAACAATGCGAGGTTGAAATATATACACATTATAGCATTCTCTTATCGGAAAACATGATGAAAGCAGCCTTTGAATTTCTCAATATTTGAGAACGTAAACTTCATAACACAAGAAATGAAATACACATAACTGCGGAACAGTGATCATGCTCATGAAGTGTGCCGGTCCGCACAGGTGGACGTGCTACCAGGACGGACTCGAAAAGACGGATGTGGTGCAGGGAAGAGTATTCTAATGCTGTTCCTCGACGGTTTCGTGCACGGATGTGTATTCACCGCATTCATATCCACACGCGTACACACACACACACACATACATATATATATATATATATATATATATATATATATATATATATATATATATTATATATATATATGTATATATATATACATATGTATATATATAATATATATATATATATATATATATATATATATATATATATATATATATACACACATGTATATACATATGTATATATATAAATATATATATATATATTATATATATATATATATATAGAGAGAGAGAGAGAGAGAGAGAGAGAGAGAGAGAGAGAGAGAGAGGAGAGAGAGAGAGAGAGAAAATGAGAGGAAGGAGGGGGGGGGGGTGTGATAAACTTTCTCTAATTCCGGTAGTATGTATGTATTTTTTATTTTATCAAGATATTTTATGTTCTAATTTATTCACTCTAGTTTTACGTATAAGTGAAACAGCTTTCTGAGTCTCTCTGTCATCATGAGTTGTAATAAGGTCAGTTCATCTCCCGGTACTGAAAAGCGGGAAAGATTCATGAGAACGACAATGAAGCATAACTGTATCTATAGAGAAACAGTTAACGAAAAGCTTGCAATGTGATATTAAAATGAATTGAAAATTACACAGGGTACGATACATTTGTTTGGCGTTTCGATTTAGCATCCTCCCTCAGAAGCGTATCTTTGATGAAGTTTAGCTAATTCATTTTGTTTTCGAAAACAAATAATGTATCTTTGTTCACAATGAGCTGATTCAGCTTGCCTTGTGCAACTCTTCATTCTCATCCAGACCCTCAGCAACTCATCTTTTCACATGCGGCCATATCCTTTTTGGGGATACTAGTCTATTTATTCCGTTTGAAAATATATAGAGCTTTATGGTAATGCATTCAGATATGCGATAAACGAGAGTACTTTTAAGCATTCAAACAAACCCTTAGAAGTGGATGTTTTCTGTATAGAAAATGCACAAAACATTGTCAGTGGGGTTAACCGATTGGAATACCACAGCGTAAAATGAAAATGAATGATTTTTGACACAGTTGATCACCATCCAAATAGGATTTGTAATATATTTTTTATTTTGAATGATCTACAAAACATTGTCAGTGGGGTTAACCGATTGGAATACCACAGCGTAAAATGAAAATGAATGATTTTTGACACAGTTGATCACCATCCAAATAGGATAAGTGTAATGAATACCTGTTTTTATCTTACATATTTTAATCACGAACTGATGGAAATTGTGATTTGTAACCAATATGTTTTTGTTTTAAAAAATCAGAATACTTAATGTTCTCTTAATTGCAGACGTTCTATAAACTATTTTGTATATTGCTGACTTTGGTTATCGAGAAAACCTCTAGATCTGCTATTAACATTAGAATGCTTTGTAGATAATAACATTGTAATAGTCCTAGCTTTAAAAATGATCCAAGAAAGAAAATGAATAAGTTTTATGGCAAACTATAACTTTTCTTACTTTACAGGAAATAAATGTGTGCACTGTATCGTTTTTCTTACACTGACCTTATTTTGGTTAATTTTCGCGTGAAGAAGTAACTTCAAATCACTTGAGCAAGAAACAAAATTCAATGCTCATAAATCATATATGAAGAACAATATTGTTAAAGCAAGATGTAAAATTCAGTGATTTCATAGGGATTAGTTTCCGCCCATTACAAACCAATAAAGAAACGAAATTTATTGTAAATGAATACGCAAGATTATATTTGATCTTTAAACCTTATTCATTCCCATTATCACAGGTTGGCTTCGGTTCTTCCTCATCCAACCCTTCAAGGAAAAGGTTAACAAGTAGACGATTTCCAATTATTTTCACAGTCCATCTTAAAACAGTTTTCTTGATCCGCAATTGGATTGGGTTACCTCGGAAGAAATTTCAGAGCACACTGTAACTACAAATGCCACTGTGTTCTTACCCTTTCCCTAATTTCTACGTCTTTGGTAAATTATTACCCTACTTTATCTATAGTTCGTGATCTGTTATTCAGAGCAATAATTGATACAACAATAAGTAATCAAGAAATATTCATTTGCATACTGTATCAAAAATAGACATTCCTATATCTAAAGCGGATACAACATTGCAGAACCATTAAGTGATTGCTGCTTTCTTTGAAATACCTTCTCCGTCTGCATCACCCTTTAACATGAATACACACCTGTACACTTCTCGCTCAGGTATGAATTATCTACCAAAAAATTTCGAATCTGGACAACAGGCGCTGATATAGTAAGACAGGAACTGCAACAAACTTTTCGAGCGAAACTAGAATTCCCGAAAAGAAAAAAGAGGGATTGGGAGGTAAAGGAAGAGAATCTAAATTAGGCCAGAAGAAGAACGTCCAGATCAAGTAAGATAGTTCTTCAGTAGGATCTATTTCGAATGAATTTAAAGATCTATGTTGAGTAAATCTTATTTAAGCATTTATGCGGCAAGTTTCACACTGAAATAAGATCGCATAATCGTCACGATGTAAGTAATATTGATAAATATATATACCAGGGGGCGCTTTTGCTTGACTTATCTGGAAAAATATATAGAAAGATAACGAATTCGTTTCATATTATTATAAATTATGAGAGCACACTTATATTTAGAACATCAAAAGAAAAGAGAAAGAAAAAAAATATATATATACATATATATCACATAATCAAATCAAAAGAAAAGAGAAAGAAAAAAAATATATATACACATATATATCACATATGTATGTATGTATCTATCTATCCATCCATCCATCCATCTATCATCAAATCAAAAGAAAAGAGAAAGAAAAAAATATATATATACACATACATCACATATGTATGTATGTATGTATCTATCTATCCATCCATCTATCTATCTATCTATCTATCTATCTATCTATCTATCTATCTATCTATCTATCTATCTATCTATCTATCTATCTATCTATCTATCTATCTATCTATCTATCTATCTACCTACCTACCTATCTATCTATCTATCTATCTATCTATCTATATATATTATATATATATATATAATATATATATATATATATATATATATATATATATATATATATCAAGCACTACGGCATATAGCACCTAGTCGTCTTGCTTATATTGGACAAGCAAAATCACTGACGCTTCAACAGCTTTCAACATCTCTGTCTGAACATCCACCGCTGGAATCATACACTATCGTCAACTTCTTGTTAGCCTGTGACCATCTTGTTCCAGTCATTTTCAAAAGTAGGTTCAAACCCATCTGGAAGAAAGATGATCGTCCTCTTTTTCTCGAATTCCTGCAATCTCATTCCCATGTGTCATTAATGAATAGTTCGGTGTAAGCATTTTTTTCTCGGTCTTTCGTCTCACTATACAGTCTTGCTTTTGGTAGGAATGTAATGTTCTCGGGGCCTGCTTTTAAGGATTTTCTTCACTAAAGACTGTAGCGGTCTGTGGCCATTCGTTACCTTGGTCAGTTCTTTAGAAATGAACGACTTAATCTTCATGAATCTATATAACACAATCATACTAGCATCACAACGAGTATGAGTGGTCTTTCTCCAATAACAGCTAAAATAGTAGAACTATCTATTTGATACCATAATAGAATTAGTACATTACAGTTATGATTAATTCTTACACATAATTCCTTCCTATCTATTTCTACATGATTTCTTTACATCTCATTCCCTGTGTATCAATGTTTAAGCCCTATGTTCAAATGCTAAGGACTTTATATCTCACTTGTAGTCTCTCTCTCTCTCTCTCACTCCCTCTCCACCCCCTCTCTCTCTCTCTCTCTCTCTCTCTCTCTCTCTCTCTCTCTCTCTCTCTCTCTCTCTCTCTCTCTCTCTCTCTCTCGCATTATGAAAGTATTGTCAGGTCATGTGATGCTGACAAACCATATAAATACTACGATGGACTGTCTCGGAGACAGCAGGTCACGCTAACCAGGCTACGCATAGGGTATCAATACACTATACATTATGTACAGGATGCAGTTTTGGAGGCAAAGCCAGTCACATATCACCAATGCAAAATGTGCAAGGCGCCCAAGTCGCATAATCTTACACATTACTTACTTTGTTGCTCAAAAACTGCATCCTATCGATCAAATAGCACTGTCCAGAGACCAGCACTCATTGATTATATTAATTTTATCATAGACACTGGTCTTGTCTTCGATATGATTAGGGATATAAAAGGTTTTTTACCAAGTAGATGATATGTGAAAAATGTATGCATAATGACACAGCCCTTCAGGCATGTAGAACTATTGTTTGACTAATAGCCCTTTACATAAATATAAGCATAGCCAGTTGGATAGATGCGGTAGCATCTTACCCTGGCTTTTTACAGGGCATGTACACTGTTCTGTAAATAAATATTATCAAATCAAATCAAATCTCTCTCTCTCTCTCTCTCTCTCTCTCTCTCTCTCTCTCTCTCTCTCTCTCTCTCTCTCTCTCTCTCTCTCTCTCTCTCTCTCTCTCTCTCCCTCTCTCCCTCTCTCCCTCCCTCCCTCCCTCCCTCCCTC